ATTATTAAAGGGACGACAACATTACCCACCCTCAACTGGTAGTCCTTCTGCGAAGTCCATTGGTCTGTTGAAACATGGAGCACCTCTCTGGGCCAGTCTCGGATAGTTTAGGAGCGGACGTAGAGGGCTCTGAAGGGTTACAGTACGGCTTCAGGGGCTTTTGGTGGGGGATTAGTTAAGGCTAGGAGCACCCTTTTGCCCTTTCCATTTCTGGGCCTCCTTATCGCATCGGAGTGAACAGAGAAATCGTACCCTCATCATGGATGGCATACCGGTGAACCCAAACCCTAAACCCTAAACCCTGGAAATCACCGCTTTCCTGACTGCGGGACGGAAAAAGGATCGTCAAAACAAAAACCCTAAACCCTAAACCCTAAACCCTAAACCCTAAACCCTAAACCCTAGTAAGTATGGACTAACGGGTTTCGGATTCGGCTGCGGGTGGCGACCCATAGGGGCCTCAAGTCCTACTCCGAGCAACGGAGAGCTAAGCCCAGATCTTTAAGCCCTCGAGCCGGAAGCGCCTCTGTTAAAGCTTCTTTGAAACTTGACCCTAAACCCCTAAACCCCTAAACCCTAAACCCTAAACCCTTGACCCTAAACCCTAGACCCTAAACCCTAAACCCCTAAACCCTAAACCCTAAACCCCTATGTAATATATGCCCTAAACCCAAGCTCGAAAATTGCTGGGGAGCTGGCCTCGGAAGACGCTGATGCCAACTCGCTGGACTTCGTTTGGCGATGTTTGGCAACATGTAGGTGGTTGTCAAAATTATGGTCCCTTTTTGGGTCCTTATAGTACGGCCCCTATTATTTAGGGTACTCCAAAAGGGACCATAATTTTGACAACTACCCATGTGGGGTTCGAGGTCCAGGGTTTAGGGTTTGGAGTTTCGGGGTTTGGAATTGGCGAGGGGTTGGGTTTGGGGGTTTTCAGTGGCATAACTCCCGCTTGGGTATTGGTTGAAAGGATGAAACCTTGGAAAGCACAGTTATGAGTAACGTGGTCAAGTAGCTGTGCTGATGACTAAGCATGCCCTCAAAGCCCCAGACTCGCGATCTGAAGCCCTTCTCCGCTTCCGGAAAGAAGGTGTAATCCTACACCCTAAACCCTAAACCCTAACCCCTAAACCTCATAACCCTGCTTGTAGTCGTCATGTAGACGAGGAGGAGTCTGATGACGGCCGTTCCCATCAATCAGTTGGCCAGAAACAAGGCTGGTGGATGAAGGGGTGTTCGCATTGTTTATATATATATATATATTTATTTTTGTTTTTTTTGTTTTTGTTTTTTCTGTTTTCTCTCTCTCTCTCTCTGTTGTTGATGTTGAGGATATTGGTTGAAATACGAGCCCTGTTTTAAGGTTTAGGGCTTTTAGTTTTTTTTGGTAGCAGTAGGAGCGGAGGCGACTCTGCAGTTGAAGCTTGGCATGTTCGATCTGGGTGACCGACAGCAGGCCAGAGTAGACGTGTACATGTGGCGGCAGTCAACCCATCTCATTTAATGTAGGAACCTGATTAAGAGGCCCTATACCCCCAAATATGTTAGGGTTCATATTAAGAACCCAAATAAAAATCAGGTCATTTAGAAGGAGTGTTTAAACAGAAGAAAGGTCTAGTTGGCACAAGATTTGTGGGAGCAGCCACACGCCCTGGATACTGAACCATCTACCCTAAGCCATAAGAGCAGCCTGCTTGCAATGCACTCGCAGGGCGTCAAGTACACCTGTGAGATCACTGGCAGCCCAGCCACTCTCGTGTGCTCTGAGTGCCCTGTCTACTTCGCCACCTATGCGACTCGGCTTCTTCAGTCAATTCTGAGAGCCTCAAAAAACTTGATCAAACAGCAAGTGACTGCTATATCTGAAGTTTCTGCAAGTAGGGAACCCAATATAGACTCCAACAATCCGACAATTACAAAGATCCCCTATATAAGCGACCCTTCGGTGTAAGAAGCACTCCTGTGACCTGGCAGCCGTAGTAGCACAGCAAACAGGGCTGTTGCTCGGTAAGATGGTAGTCTTGGACAAGGGTTACTAAGCCCTAAACCCTAAACCCTAAACCCTCAACCGTAAGCCCTAAACGTTACGCCTTGGTCGGCGAGGCTGTCTGGTCCCAGACCAGTCTTTAGCCAGGTTTCTGGAATGCCGCCCAGCAGTTGGGACGAGTCTGACTACGGTCTAGGGTTTAGGGTTTTGGGTTTAGGGTTTAGGGTTTAGGGTTTAGGGTTCAGAACAGTGTTACCATACGTGTGCAGTTGAACCCTGTCACGGCTTGGGCGAGGTTCGCGCGCCCAATGCCCAAGCTTGTCACTTTTCAGGGACAGCTAGCCGAGAGGGTTCCATGCAGCAGGTGCCTGGGTGGTAAGTTTCGGATAGTTTTTTGTGCAATGGTCTTGCATACACGACTTCTTGCCCTACTTTTCTGTCCTGATGACAAGGCTCAAACGGAACTCCGCAGGGGTATAAGCACTCAACAAAAATCTGAAATCAAAAGATCGTCCACGTAGAGAGACTAACCGACTAACCCTAAACCCTAAACCTGATTGCAGGATCGGCAGTTAAAAGCTTTGGGCCTTCGTTGTTCAATATCCTGGGGGAGCTGGGTGGGAGATAATATAGGGGCCTTAATAATTACCTATAGTATTTTAGGGGTTCCCTATTATAGTTTATACTATCAAATACCACAAAACCCTATTCCAATTATTAAGGCCCCCAAGCCCTAAACCCCTATAGTAGCCCTGATACAATCCTTTAAGGAACCCTTGATGAATGAGCCCTAAACTCTAAACTCAAAGCTCTGAGGCCTAACCACAAAACTTTAAGCTCCAAGGACCACTTCGATGTGTGGTGGAAGGGCATCGGCAACCTCATCGCGCAGGCGAGCTGCAGTCTCATTTCCGGGGAATTGGGCGGCCTTTAACTTAATTCAAGCTGAAGATCAAGGATAGGCCTGCCTTTTTTATTCAGCGGTTCGTGCCCTAACATTGAACCTCACATGGTAGGCACTTCGTTATGAGGATACCTAGCAGGGCACCCCTATTTAGCTTGGAATCTCCATCTGGGCCCTACGCCCGAAACCCGAAGCTTCAAATCCTAAGCCCTCTAAGCCCTAAGTCTTAAACCCTTAACCCTCAGTCCTGAGCCCGAAACCATGAGCCCCGAGCCAAATGAATTAACCCGAAACCTATAACGTTTAGGGTTAAGGGTCAAGGTACCCTCGAGGAACCCAAAGCTCAAATCGCAGGACATCGTGGTCCTTCGCGCGCCTCCGAAGATGATCGGCAGTGAGGAGGAGCGGAAACGACGCGCCGAGGACTCGCAGCAAGCGCTTTTTTTGGACGGCTCCTTAAGACAAAACCTAAGCCCTAAACCCCTAAACCCAAAAGGCTTCCTGTAAAGGGTTCCCGTAATGGTTTCTACGTAGGATTCGCCCGAGTGCCCGAAGCCAAGCTAAGCCCTTGGAAGTCACCCTACAAAGCCTTTGGAGAGAGACTCCGAACTAGCCCTTAACTTTAAAGATCCTACTTCTCACAACATCCCAAAACTAACCTGCTATACAAAGCCCTGAACCCCAAAAGGTATCCTGTTCTCAGTGCAAGCCTTTTCGAGGCAGTGCCCGATGCGTGGAGTGAAAGATGCAATGCTTTCATAAGCACAAACTCCAAAAACCTTAAGCCCTAAATCCTCAACCCTAAGCCCTAAAACATCAAGCCCGTACCCTCACACCCGATTAAACCCTAAACCCTGAAACCTAGACCCTAAACCTTAAAACCTAAACCCCGAACCGCTTGCCAGGAGCTGATGGGCATCAGAAAGGAACTGCAGCTTGGTTTGGCAAATTCCGCAGGGTTCAGGATTTAGGGCTGTCTCAGGTTTTGGGCCTATATTCCTTAGGGCTCCTGAATGTAGCTATGCTATAACGTACCCCAGAACCTTATTCTGGTGATTAAGACCAAAGTGCTGGGGACTTCCGCAGATTGGCCCCAAAGGAACCCTTAAGGGGAACCTTCAAATCGGGCCACGTCTTCCTGTGCGCCATTGGGGTTTAGGGTTTGGGGTTCAGGATTTAGGGTTTAGGGTTTAGGGTTTGGGGTTTAGGACGTTTAGGATTTAGGATTTAGGGTTTAGGGTTTGGGGTTCAGGGTTTAGGGTTTAGGGTTTTCGGAGACTGTGAAGATGGATGACAATCCGATAGAGGCTTTGAACGATTAGTGGCACGATCACGTGCCTTTATGATTGGAAGAATAGCGGGCTCTCTCAAGGGCTTTACAGGGTTTTCGATCGTAAGGCTCTAGAAGAATGGTTAGTCATTGTACCCCCGTTCTAGCCCAGCATAGTTCTATTAATATATATATATATATATCCCACAAGCCTACTCGAATTCTGAAGGCCCTTATGTTCGGAAACTGATGCGAGGATCGGATTAATGAAATACCCCACATTAAAAGACTTACTTGTTTTTCGGCCGGGTTTGGGGCTGGAAGACTAGTTTCAATTGCAGCAGGTTTTCGTATGGGGAAAAGGAACCACATTTAAAGAAACACATTTCGGAAAGCTTCAACAAAATTTGCCTGCTGCCTTAATAAAAGAAGCAAAGCAGGCCTGGCTTTCGGCAGAGGCAGAGGCTGCCTTCCGGAGCCAAGCTTTTTCCAAAAGCTGAGGGCCCTTCAGAAAGCCTAGGCTTTCTTATGAAAGGCCTCATGAGAGGAAGCACATTTTCATCTTAGGGGCTGAGTAGGTAACCTTTAACCTTTTGAGGCTTATATAATCCTACTATAATTCAAAAGGTTAACCTTTTTTGGGCTAGGGTACTCAGCCCCTAAGTCATTCTTTCCTGAGCTACCCCGTATGGGGCCTAGCTGGCAGCATCCCGAACCAGATTTACAAAAGGGACCACATCTATGGCAAGCCTCCGGCCGGGCCCGGCTGGAGATTCAATATATTGCCATTCATTTACAAAGAGCCAAGGGGGCCGGGTTGGAGCCAACAGAGATTCTCCATTAATACGAACTCTAACAAGGACCCGAAGCTTTGGAATTATGGGCATATTCCCTATTACGGGTAAGGCAGGATTTCTATCACCAACCGTATGAAATGCCCCGATCTTCGGAAACTAAAAGATTCCTGGCCCTGACCCCCGAGAGACAGATCCGCCAAGTACTCGGCCGCCCCCGAAGCCATTGGTTGAGGGTTGAGGGCTTCGGGTTTCGGGGTTCGGTTTTAGGGTTTAGGGTTATCCAACAGCTATGTGAAAGACTGTAACGGTAGTAGTCGTCGTAGTCGTCGTCGCAGTAGTAGTAGCAG